ATTTTGTCAAATTTCGGAATCGAGATAGGGAACTTGACAAAAAATTTAAACATGAAAATATTACTATAAATCATAAGAATGTTGAAACATATATCAACGCAAAAAACAATTTTTTTTGTCGCAAGCGGCCGCAATAAGGAATTAGAAATGTGGAAAAATTCAAATTATTTCCAGCGGGAAAAACGCGCTGGTATTGTACGATCTGTCAGTGTCTGTCAGCAACCGTCCATCATACCGTGAGTTCGTCTTGAAACACTGAACGCTCGGAGCATTTTCCGTCTTTTTTCATTATGATGAGAAGAACAGGGATAAAAGAACAAAACAGCAGCTCCGAGCGATTACTCGAACTCTACATAATAAATACCCGTTAGCTGTGTTTATCCACGTTTCTCTCTAATTTTTTAAAAATTTTTCAATGCTTAGCTCAGCATTATATAAATAAAACGATATACCTATTAATTATGACCGAAGAACGAAAATCCAAAGGCCAATCCGACAATCTGTAATTTGTGATATGTTTATGGTAGTAAAATTAAGTATGTGCGAGTCTTTTCTTCCATTATAACTTCAAAATTTACAACTTGCCGCAACACAAAACAACAACAAAACAAATAACGGTGGAAATGTGGAAATTACCCAAATTAAATACAATGAGGTATGACGTTTGGTGACACGGTGACACAATAGTATATTGTTGTATTAGGAGTAGAAGCTTTACTTTTTTGTGCTGAAGCAGTAGGTTTGCGAGCCGAACGTAGGAGGCTTGCGATACTGCTGAAGCACAAAAAAGTGCTTCTACTCCGTATGCAACACGCAATTTTTTCTCCAAACTAATGGGGTAAGCTCGGGGGCAAGTGAATGGTTGAGCGGCAGTAAAAGTACGAGCGGCACTAAAAGTACTTCTACTGCCGCTCCAGCGGCACTAAAAGTACTTTTGCTGCCGCTGGGGTTGCCAAGCAGCATAGAAATTAAATTTCTACCACCTCGACAGGTGTTAACCCGCTGGATTTGCCTAGCAGCATAGAAATCAAATTTCTGACATCTTGACAGGAGTTAACAAAGTGACGTTTTTCTGACGTTTGGAGAAAAAATCATTTATGTCGTTTGAAATGCTTTTAATACGCGCGAAACTTTAAACATTTTTCACCAAGTTATTATTGAGTTTTAGGGAATAATATTTGGGGAATACTCTTTCAAGGCATAAATAAATGATTTAAAAAAATAAAAAAAAATTGTTAGTTCTCTATTCTCGAGGACTTTGGAGCTACATCAGAGTTGTCGCACTAAGGTGAGTTGTTGGGATAACTTGGTTCAGAGATTGGGATGCAGACCAAAGTTATTCTTTCATAGTTTCCTAGTTGGCTTTCTGCTTTGTTGGTAAATTGGTGTAGTGATGAAATGATAAATGAAATGTAGATATTGTTACACTGCGACCTGCATAGATCTAGTGGGTCCCCTCTCTCGGTTCTTCAGTCGATAGGATTCTCACTCAAAGCACCTGATCCAGCTTTAATGCTTTTATGGAAACAAGTAGGCTGGATGGTTCTATGGATGGAATTTCTTCCCGTCCAACAAGGCAGCATCCAAAACAGGCCATTCACGATCGCCTCCCAGTCCGTCCGTCAGAAGGTGTTCTGGAGTTTCCTTTCCTTTCTCACAAAACCGGCAGCTGTCCTCGTTTTCGATTTTAATTATCTCAAGGTGCGCTCTTAACCGGCAGCGGCCTGAAAGAAATCCAATGAGAAAATTGTTTTTACTCAGTGATATAAGGTCTTTTGATCTATCTTGGTGGGGGGGGGGGGGCTCGAGAAACATCTTTGTTTGCCCCTAACCCTGGAAGTTGTTTTCAGAAGCTGAGCCATTTGGTCTGCTCTTCCTTTCTGCTCACTCCGCTTTCTCATTTCCTTCGATTCCTCCTGGTATTCACTGGAGGGATAGTTTGTTATTTTTGCCCAGTTTGTTTATCTTGTTCAGGCATCCCAAAAGATTCTGGAGCTGATTATTACTTGACTGTCTAAGAATGTGAAAATCTTTCTCGTTTTGTAGTTTCCGTCTCGCCATTGCTTCGGAGAACTTGATTCCATAGGCCCAAGTACTCCACCTCCAGTCCTTTGTCCAGTTCTTAACCTATCAGTATACCATTTAATGGCGATCTGCTGCATTGTAAGAATGGATGTGCTGATACTTTTGGTGCGATTCTGTCGGTATGCTAGACTTCAACAGTGCTGTTAATTTCTTTGCTATTTCTTCGCCACCATGTTTTAGAAGTTTATTGAGAATCTCGTCTACTCCTGGAGCTTTCGTGTGGTTCAGATTTTTTTATTTTACATCTGATTCCGTGACTATTAATTTTTCCGTTATTTCCTCCTACATTTCCTGGAATTGAGTTTGTGTACTCTCAGTGTTGTTGGTCTTTACTTTCATGTTGCTGATAGCCTTTCTTCTTAGCTTCTGTAAGCTGTTTTACCAATAGACTTCTTGCACTCAATCGAAATCAGGTATATAATTTATCTGTATTTTATATACTACATAACAGTATGGTTGGTTAATTTTTTGAAAAATCTTGAAGGCAGAAATCAAAAGAAAAAAAAAAACAGATTATTCGAATTTTGCGCCATATTTTTTGCACCCATCAAAAATCACTGTTTGCCAAATTTCCATGTTCCAAAAGAATCTTTTTTTTTTCTTTTTCAACACATCGAACAAAAAAGGAGGCATATAAATATCAAAATCGCTTTGTGGATCGACTTTGGTACAGCTCTACTTTTGACATGAAAAATAAAACGACACTTAATGAAGTTTCGACAATTTTGTTTTCTTGTCTAAATACTATTAGACATAAAATTAGACAAAGAAAGTACTAATCCGGCACAGTATAAAGTACGAAAACGATAAAAGGAATTTTTATTTGTCATGTTGATTTTTGTTTACTATTAGGTCAGTGACCACTGGCCAATTTACCAAATCAAACAAAATAATCAATAATTAACAACAAAATACAGTTGGTGCCAAAATACCTGGAAAAAAACGGCTTCATTTTCCAACTCCATGTTACTACTCCTTTACCTTTACATGCTCTGATCTAAGGGCTTCATAGTCTTGTTGTGATTTTGAGTTGGTTGAAAACAAAACAATATTGAAATAAAAAACCCCTATATTCCATTAAAATAAAAAACCCATGAATACTGAAGATCAATCTAGTCTTATATATTTGGTGGCCGAAAAAAAATTAAGTAACTGGGTAACAGGACCAAATCGATAGCTGATATTTTACGAAATAAGGATTAGAAATTAGGAATGATGGAGGTGGGTAACACCGGTCTTAGTCTTAGAGAAACTGGTATTGAATAGGTACAGACACATACAAATTATACTCCTGTTTCATTTCCCATAATCCACTTAGAAGAAAAATAACAATAATTTTAATAAGTAATTATATACAATAAAAAATTAAAACGACACAACACTAGGTATTAGTAAAATGCAGGTAGAGCAACCTTTGTGTGCCTTCGAGCTTTCTGCCTGTTTTGAAGTTTTGGGGATAGGCTAATAAATAAAAATAAATAATGATCATATTAATGAATTAAATAGGGATGAGAATCGATTCCATATTCCGATACTTACCAATCTGTAGAATCGATATATCGATGTAGTTGTCGCCGCCAGGACAAGTTTACATGAATTCCATGAAATCTGGGCAACACTGGATAAAACTGGCCAATCAGAAATTTGAACTTCAAATCGAAATTAGAGCCTTTCCAAGTCCGAAAAAAATCGGAAAAAAATACAGTTGAGCTTAATTTTGACTCCTTTTTCCAATAAGCAAATAAAAAAAATTCATGCAAGAAACCTATTGGTTACAGGTTTGGTCGAATTTTGTCTTGAGGCATGATTATCAGATGTAATGTTTTGGAATATTGGTACAATGGCGAGAATTGAAAATATTAAATCGATGGCTTATATTTATAGATGCAGTTTCGGATAAAGCCCAAATAAAATGAAAAATATGTAATAATAAAACTAATATTTTCTAGAACAATGAAGATAGATCTCATAATCAAAATAATACTTTAGCTGCGGAGGTTCTGCTATTCCTGCGTGTTGCGATCAACGAATTAAGTTTTAACTGTGATCTGTTGCAATAAGTATCAAGCTTGCCCTTCGGCATAAAAACCCATAAATTCTTGAACTGCTGTGAAGATGTACAATGTTCCAAGCCAAAAACCGGACATGGCCTTAATCCAAAAAGCTAACTAGCAATAATATTTATAGTCCGCATATTAGCAAGGACGAATCGTCCGTCGAACGATAATTAAAATAATGCACTGGAGCGATCCTGGTTTAAAAACTAATCATCCAGTTACATGAATTGGAGCTAAATTTAGACTTTAAAGATTCGTTATTTGGATACTATCCCAACGAGAACGACTACTATGCTGAGTGAAAAGCCGAAAATTGAATCGGGACCAGTGTTAAACTGTTTGGAGATTTTGAATTTTAGATTGATTTGAATGGATACGCTAAGAATCAAGTCAGGGGAATGTACTGAAGTTGAATTATGATTCAATTAACCCAAATGCATACCAATCAAATCCAGACTTACCCAAAATTGAACATTTTCCTTCATGAATCACAAGCAGGGTATTCTTATTTCCAGCAGATAGTAAATTTGCTGTGAGGCCTCAGAACACTAAATACTAACTCTCGGAATGCTCTTAAAAAGGAGAATATCATTTTTTTGTAAAAAAATAGTTTGCTGTAGAGATCTGAAATGTAATCCTCTGAATTGGTGCAACATGCTTCCATTCAGGCAAATATTGACACTACCAATTTCTTTGCAGTAAAAAGACAAAAATTTGAAAAAAAACTCAAAATCTCATTATGTGGTAATTTGGCCACTTTATATTTACGATTGTTTCCTCTGGCCTATAAATTCCAATAGTTGGCTCACTCCCAGCATCGACTCATTGTTTTGCTCGCACACATCAAGCCTACACTCTAGTAGCTTTCAACTTTTCGCCGGTGTCGCGACTCCCGATCCGCTTTTATTTTTGTTTTTTATTTTATTTTTATTTATTTTCGGTTTACTCCTAACAGGATGTCAAGTTACGCAACCGTATTATCTAGTTAGTCATTCCGAAATTTAAGCTACTCACTTATTTATCCAAACAAAAATGCCTTTGATACCTTCAGGAAACAATTATTACACCCCGTTGACTGTGCCAAGAGTCATCAAATATCCCCATTTAGAACCTTATCCGTCTTTGTACAATGAAGATCTTCCCTATACTTCATCAATCAACAGACCTGGATTACCGCCACCAAACCCATTCCATAGAAGTTCTCCAGCAAGAATAGCAGGCTTAGATGTACCATGTAACAGAAAACCTGTAGCCTTTCAGCCACGTCCTCTTAGAAGTTTAGCTTTAGTTGGAGACAGTCCTAGAAGCTCCATGGCTAGATCACCTAGTCCTACCCCCAGCTTATCTAGCAACTATAGCATTAGATCCTCAACATTGCCTCCTAGAAGAATTTATCCTCAACACTACGACTACTCTTTGGATTTAGATGAAGACGTCAAAGACGATTCTCCAGTAGTGTTTGATGCTAATTTAACCTTCATATTGGGCACCAAAGGTAAATTGAGGCAAAACTTCAAACCAATACCTGCACATTTAGAACGCGAGACAGCTTCAAATGCTTTATCGAATAAAATTTCGAATTTCCTGCAAAGAACCGATCATGTGATGGACGAATGGAAACGGACGGGGCATAAAGAGGATGATTCGCATTCTTTGAGGATGTCGGGGAGCAGTAAAAATCATATGGGGAGGTCCAGGAGTGCTACAAATATCATGATAAAAGGTTTTCAGTATTTTAGTAGGGCCAGTAGTACAAGTAGAAGTTCGATGGCCAGGGAATTGTCTGAGGAGAATTTGAATACCGATGCTGAAATTGATGAGGTAATTTTTGTGTTTTTTATGTGATTGGTCGAATTTCATAAATTTGTTCCAAGGGAAATCAATTAGTCTTATTGAAGAAGTGAAAGGAAATAATTTCTCAAGGTTGATTTTGAGGAATTGAGTTTTATATGTATGTCATTAATAGAAAAGACACTATCTAATCCTTCTATAAATTCGTAAAAGTTGGAGACAAGAACACATTAAACATTTTTCAAAGTACCGAGCGGCTTAAATGACGCACCAGAAATGCTGCAACTTGTCAACTTTCAAATTTTAGCTAGAAGTACTAAAAAGGCTTAGTTATTTCACATTTATATCACCGCACTAATTATGGGTTTTATTGTCCGATTACCAGATTTGGTAGGTTGGCTAATGTTTAATTTGCCATTCTGTGATTAAATAATTGATTCTGTTATATGTTTATTTTGTTGTATTAAAGTGTAAAATGGGTAAACCGTCAATAAACATTTATTTATTTATCGCAAGATGCTACGAACTAGACAGTTAGTATGCAGGGTAGGTATCTTTCTTGGGCTCCCCTTTCATGTTGGAAAAAAGAGCTCTATTATTGCTCTATCCCAATAGAGTCTCTAATAGATCTAAGATAGGGCCACAACATTTCACTGGTGATTCCGCCTATTATGGGGTCTTTTTTTTTCATCTGAGATAGTCTTAGTTCAATTTCATCTATAGTGTTATCTTGGGTTTTTCCTCAGAACCAACATTCATTATGATTTTCGTCCATGATGATTTTGGTTTAATAGAAGTCTAGAAGTCTGCATAAAAGTCTCCAATTATCGTCGTTACTTGTTGGTTGCCTTGCTTTATGCAGCCCTCTTTATTTTTCTAATTGATGGATTGTCAGCTTTCCAGAGAATTCTCATATTCTTGTTGCGGTCTCGTATATCTTCCCTTATCTTTTTCTCAATCTTTTTATTGATCTCTGCGAAATTTCTTTCTCTAGTTAGATTTCTTGTGGCAATTTATCTTAGAGCACACTCTCATTTTAATCTTTGATGTTTCAATTTTTTATTTGATTTTTGTTAGTATCTATCTTTGTTTTTATAGTTATACTTAAGTGGGGAAATCTTGTTGTTTTCTTTTTTTTTACTTTGTTTCTTTCCAGTGCTGTATATTGATGACTACTTTTTCTCTTATTGGTTGATAGAAGACCTCCTCAAATTCCATCTTCTGTTTTTCTGGTTTTGTAAAGAATGAGTTCATACAATAGGTATAGTTTCTCTTCTTGTAGGTTGTTTAGAAAGGTTTCTCCTCTTTCATTACTGAGTCCAAAATCTCCCTGATAAGGTATATTTTGGCTATTTTTATCATTTTTATCATTCACCTTGGCATTAAAATCATCTATTACTTCGTACTCCGAATAAATTTTTCAGTAAGTAGCTTTTGATTGTAATTGAAATATCCATTGACGTCATAACATAAAAACCATTAAATTTCCATCGTGCCAAATATACATGGATTTTAAAAACCCATAAACTATTCAATTCCGATAGAACTTAGAACATCGTAGGAGTGACTACTTGTACTGAAATCTAAAAATACTAATTTTGTAAATTAAATCAAGTAGCAAAATTATGTATTTTGGAAAACAACACAATCTGGAAATAGTTTTTCAGGAAAAAATACAGCGCTTGCTGAAAGAGATGCAATGGCCTGGAAAATTGTGCCAAACAGTGACTGATCCCATAACATAGGAAATAAGTGTTTTTCTCTATCATACATTTATGTAAACTATGTCAAAATGTATACGGGAAATTTTTTTATTCGTTTCGGTTACGTAAACCAATAAATATGTATTTCGTAACATTTAAAACGCTATTTTGGCGCTTTATCAAGTCAACTAGACCAGAGCAACTAAATTTTTCAATGCACAACTAGAATATCAATTTGTAGGTCATCGCCATTGCAAATTCAAAACTCGTTGGCATATTTTCAAAAGGAAAAAAATCGAAAAGTCCTAAATAATTGTTTTGTTGCAGCACCAGGACCTTGGCATATAATTTATTAATAGCGCCGCCCCGTGACGAGATTTTATAAATTGCATGAGATTATGACCATTTAATGGGCGATACTGATAACGAGATAAATTGCTTGTAATTTGTAATAACTCCTTGTTTACCTGTTGTGTAGTAGTTGAAAAGTGGACGGAAAATTGAAAATTATAGCTTGTGCTAAGCACTTGTAATTTTGCTTTTGAGTCTTGAATCTCTAATACTCATGAATATTAAGTTTATTGTCCCAGAGTAGAAAGTTCATGCCGATCATGAAAGATAGCTATATTGGATTTTTTTTTTTTTTTAATTTTTGTATATATTTTCTATCGAACCACGAATTTCTTATCAGTTTTGAATTTTCGTCTTGTTTGGAGCGTTTGTAGTTTTTGAATATTGTACCTACATAATATACTTTTTAGTCAATTTTTATTATTTACTAAAAGTGTTTGGGTGGTTATGATTACCTACTTAGGTCTAAAAGTTGGGCATTAGGTTAGGTACGTTATACAGTCTTTGAGAAATTTCGCTTTCATCTGACTTATGGGCTGTATACAATATTTATGTTTTTTTTTTTAAATAACAATTTTACTTAACAGTAAGCCTAAAGCGTTTTTAAAATCAAATCCTTATCACTTTCTCTAGAAAACACAATGTTGCTTACTCCACACTCACAACTTTAGACAACAGCAAGATTTGCTAAAAAATTATAGCTTTTAAAACATAAGTAAATTTTATGCATAGCTTTTTTTTCAATCCCAAGGATCTTCAAATTGTGTTTAGTAGAAATATTGACTAAATCGTACGTGTATTAAGTCATTACTAATTTTCGATTATTGTTCTAGTTAAGCGAGATGACAGCAGATTTAGCAGAAGAACATTCGACAGCAACGCTGGCGGCTGAACGCTTAGATGCCGAAACGTCGGAGAGACTCAGATTGGAAAAAGAACTTTCCGAAACCAAACACAAAAACAAAGAATTGCAACAGTCTTCGGAAAGAATGGAAATGGAGTTGCTCTACGCCAGATCGGATTTGAATGGGATTTGTGAGGAAGATGAAGATGGAGGTAAGAATTGTTTTGTGGAATTTGGACAAAAAAAAATTATGTAGGGTAATTTTTTAGTTGCTTCCAATGAAGTACTTGTTTTTCTTGTTGGGACCATCTTATAGAGTCTAGGTTTTTCTACATTTGAGTAAAAAGATGGCATTTGTAATACTATTTCATTTATTTATTTATTTATTTATTTATTTATACTGTTTACAAGTACTTTATCTAGACTAGCAATTTTTTTCCTAACATGACCAATATGTGCTGCCCACGACAGTATACTATCTATAAAAAAAGCAACATAACTTATGACAGAAACGTTCTGTAATTGCTGACTTCCAAACACTATATTATGGCATTTATTATTCAAAAGTTTCCTACCTAAAAACATATGATTATTTATGCATGTTAGCTGTCATTTTGTGAGACTTCAGCCACACACTTATCCTGGATAGATCATCACTGATGTCGGACTAATGGCCGGTATTATAAAACACTGAACCGATGGTTGAGTTTCAACCTTCGGTTGAATCCTATCAATTTGCATGCGGCCCTTAATGAACTCAACACTCCTATCACAATACACATTAATGAAAGTCAACTAATAGAATTAACATAAATTAAAAACAATGTGGGGCCTAGAACTGATCCTTGAGGAACCCCGCACCTGATCAATTGTGAATGGGCTCTTTCACTAATTTTTGAAATTGGCATATTTGGATAAAGCAACTAAAAACAGAATTTTCTGTATTTTTAATGTCCTTCTTGAGAAAACAGAAAACAAAGAAATACCTCCAAATAAAAACCCAGAATTTATTTCTATGACGTCGCAGCTCGCAATTTGACCGTGTTGCCACTAATTGTCAACATTGAAAATTTGTAATAGATTTAATTCTGAAATGTTGGCAAAATCTCATGAAAAGTAGTTAAATTAATTAGTTATAGATTCAAGATTTTATAACATTTTTTTTTTAAATTATGCTTAAACCCAATTTAATACAATTTTTTATGTTTAGTTTTATTTATTTATTTTACGCTGCACTACATTTAGTCACAACCGACAACAGCGCATTCGAACCTTTACGTATCTTTACAGAGCGCAAACACAGCCGAGCCGGTCCTCCTAGCAACAACATAAGCGAAATGAAGAATATTTATGTGACGTCGGCAAATAGGCGCGTTTAATATCAATTTGAATTTGGTCACTTTTGATTGCCTGTGAAAAACTTATTGAACCTTGTAGAACATTTTCTTTTTGGTATATATGCCAAAATAGTCCCTCCTTTGAGATTTTATACTTAAATTACGTATTTAAATTTTAGTGAAAGAGCCCATTGCTGGTTAGCATTATTTGCTTTCACATATTGCCTTCTGTTCTGCAGATAGTTTTTGTACCAGAAGTATGGAATTCCTCTAATACTTGCCTCCTCCAACCTTAACAGCAAAATCTCATGGTCTACAGTGTCAAATGCCTTGTGCAAATCCAAAGATACTGGGGTCCTTATTCTCGCGCTCCCATGAGTACGAGTTTTCTGTCTTTGTTACTTATTTTATCATTTGCATATCATTGAGAAAGATAGAACACTCGTTCTCCTGGAAACGCTGCTTCCCTGTTTCAAGAATAAGGACCCAGAGAACAGATATTTCCACTGTCTAGTTTTATTTGAGGAAACTGGAAGAACGGATACTGGTCGATAATTGGAAGGCAGTTCATAGTCCCCCTTTTTGTGGAGAAGCTGAACTCTAGCTATCTTCATCTTGTCAGGTATTGTAACACTTTGCAGAGAGAGATTAATGATTTTCACTAAGATAATTGAGCACTAGGTCTTTAGTCTTTGAACGCTATCTACTGTGACGCTGTCCGCTCCACGCGCCTTGTTTCTGTTCATTGTACTGATAATCCTTTGTACTTCTGCCAGTGAAACTGACTTGAAGAAGAAAGAGTCCTTTCATGGGACCTTTTCACAGGGATGTGTTGAATCTTTTTTGACAAATCGGGACCCACATTAATAAAAAAACTCATTAAATGCGTTTGAAATTTCAACAGCATCTGTTAGCACGATATCATTTCGTTTCAATAATGGGATCACCTGCGCTGTCCACTCTTTGTTGTGCAATACTTTGTCGACTGTGTTCCATGTTTTTTATTTTTATTTTTTTTTCATTCCCTAGGTTTCGTTTAAATTCAGAATTATAGTATCTTTTTTTTTATATTAACTTGTTTTTTTTTCCCTTTCATTGTACTCTCTGTGTTTATTTTTATAATAATTGGTATCATGCTTTCTAAGCTTTTCAAAGTAGTGATCTCTTTTATTAATTAATGAGGTAACTTTCTGGTGACTTTACATACCTCTTTAACCTGAACATATCTGCAATTTATAAAAATATCCTCCAATCTATCATCTATCATACAGTAATATTCAGTATATTGGGCCAAATTATCGATAAGTTGTACAAGTTTGTTCTGCGCTTCCAAGTAATTCACATTTTGATATACCTTATATTTTTTCTCTGGTATTCCATAAGTTTGTTTTCCTTTAGTATAATGTTTACAGTGAGCATTGAAAGATCTGAGTTGTGCTCTTTCATAACTTTAAATGAATTCCTTATGAAAACTTCATCCCCGCCACCGTGTTTGTCTCTACTTACAGAGCAAGCATTAGAGTCAGTTAAATTATAAAACTTTTTTTCTCCTGGTTTTAACCATGTTTCAGTAACAACGACAATAATTTGTATTTTTAAGCTTCTTATATTAACTTTTATTTCATCAGTCTTGTCTCTCAGGGATCTTGCGTTCATGTAGAATGTATTGAATCCATTACACTTATTTAACACTTTCAACCTACTTTTTATTAAATTAACTTGATATATGAACTCTATTCTGTGCCTCCTCCTGTTTTCATCTATTTTCCCTGTAATTTAATCGTTTTTAAATATTCAAAAATCTAGTTTGAAATTCTTGCTTTGGGACATTTATGTCTAGAGCTGTTAGGACTCTATGAATATCTTCAGAACAATTTTCCTTGGTGATTTGTATTCCTAAGAAGACCAACTTTCTATTCCTTTCCTCTTGACCTTCTCTAGTGCTACGTTTATTAATTTTAATAACTTCTTTTTCAAGGGCCTGAATTCGTTTTTCCATGCCATTGCGCTCCTTTTTCAACTTTTCGTTTTCCCTTGTAAGAATTTTCACAGAATTTTTCAGGTCATCCAAGCAGACTCCATAGTACTCAAGAAACTTCTCAAACTCAGAAAATCTTTCATTCAGGACTTTCATTAGGTCACTGTTTGTTGGATTGGGCTTTGACGACAATTCTCCTAAATCGTTTTGTTTTTGTCTATCTCCTCTGTTGTGTTGTTTTAAGATTTTCGTCGATTCGATGTTATGTTGTCAGGCTCCTCTGGTTCTGTCGTGTAGTGAACCTGCAGCAAAAAAGTGAAATAGGAACTTCCTGGAACTATTTTTACCTAGAGTTTCTTCTGAAACAAGGAAATCAGCAAATGATATCTACAATAATTACTTAGGTTTTGTCAAAACTTCGTAGAGATAGTGGATAAATTTCAAGGCAACCGAATAAATTATTTGATACAGGGAATCGAAATTTAGAAAAATCTGGCTGACATCCTATCACATAAAATGCATCCTTCGCTTCTCAATACAGGGTGCATTGGGAAGGATTTCTTCTGGAATGAAATTGAAGCTTCACAATCGAATCATTTACAATGAATCTTAAACGTAAAGTACGTCGATTTCAATCTTATACTCTACTCCAAAGGAATGTGAGCTGGTGGCTCCCTACATTAGAACGCCAATGGTCACCTGACGTCACACCTCTTTAATAAACTTCACCCCCTCGCTCCTCCTACGGAAACTGTCAGATGAAAAACGACGGACAATATATACAATTAAACAAAGTAACGGATTTGCATCAAAAGTTCTACACTGAATTGTAATGGACTGTAACGGAAATTGTAACGTTAATAACTATTTCAATGAGTTACGCAATGCTTGTTATGCATGTCGTGCTTTACTCTTCTTCTTCTTAGCTGTACTCTATCCTCTGGATATAGGCCCCTCTCAGATTTTTCCAGGTATTTCTAATCTGTGCGACCTAGTACGAGTTTAGTCCTGCTGTTCACTTGATGTCGTGTCGTCGTACCAGCGTTGTTGAGGTCTGCCGACGCTTCTTTGTGTTTCTCGCTACGTAGCCGGCCCAGTTCCATTTGAAGGTGCATATTCTATGTGTAATGTCTTCGACCTTCGTTGTATTTCTTATCCACTCGTTGGTGTACTTGCAGCTTATTTAGGATTTTCTTTGTGAATATCCATGTTTCGCTTTCATAGGCAACTACTGCCAGAATATATTCGTTGTAGAACTCGTAGACTTTAGTTTTCAGCCTCAAATGTAATTTTGACCAAAATATTTGGCGCATTTTAGCATACGCCGACATTCCACTCGGATTCTCCTATTGATTTCAAGCTCTTGATTAGTCTTGATTGACTTTGCCTAGCGTTATTGCCTGTCCTAGATACTTTTTTCACCTGTTGGTTTTTTATGGGTATTGTGTTTGTGTTTGCTCATTTGTCATAAACTCTGTTTTCGATATGTTCATTTCTAATCCGATCTTCTTGGCTTCTTGAAGTAAACCTTCTAGCAAGATTTCTAAGTCCGTTTCGTTCGGGACGAATATTACGATATCAGCGAATCTCAAATTATTGATGTTTTGTCCAGATGTATTGCTCCCTCTATTTTCTCAATGTAGTTCCTTGAACACATCTTTGAGGACTAGGGTGAACAGCTTTGGTGATATTATAACGCATTGTCTTATGCCTCTTTTGATCTTATTCTCATAAACAGTTTGTATATCTGAGACAGGAGGCTTATATGGGTTCATAGTTTTCAATATTTGATGGGTCTCCTTTTTTGTATATCAGAACGACGATTTGCCATATCAGTGCCATGGCAGTCTTTCAGTCGTGTGATATTTTCCCCTCTGTTAGACTTTTATTGGAAAGTGTTTTCAGTTGTTCTACAAGATACTCTCCTGCCTCCTTCAGCATTTCTTTTAATATATCGTTTATTCCTGGGGCTTTTCCGTTGTTTAATTGGCTTAGCGCTTTTGCAATTTCTTCCTCTTCTATATCAGGGATCTCTTCTGATCCAACATTTAGAATTTTGGATGTTTCGCTTTCGGTTTCTTGTTTGTTATTTTCGTTGTTGCTTTTTGCGTCGTATAGTTCCTTATAGAAATTATCAATTATCCGCCACATGCAATTTACAATCTCTGTCTTCTGTAATGTTTCCTTGTTTGTCCATCTTTGTAATTTCTCTTTTGTATGCATTCTCCTCTTTGAAAACATTGAAGCCTTTTTGTTGTTCTATCAGTTTTTCGATTTGTGTTTTTTGGTAGATGTCAACATGTTGTTTTGTCATCCTTCTGGCCATTTCGTTAGTCTCTTTGTATTCTGGTGTATGTTTTGTAACATCTCTTTTTGAAGAATGTGTGCATCGCAAAGAGTTGCTCTCTTTCTATAAGATGTTGATTAGCATTTCTTATACCTACATACATGTCCGAATTCTCTGTCATCTTAGCCTATTTCTGCATTTAAATCTACCCATCATAACTAGTGTGAACTTTGTTCTGTGAAGACAATGTGCTACCTCTTCATAAAGTTCCTCTACCTCTTGGTCCTCGTGGTCGGTTGTTGGTGCGTAAATTTGGATGACTTTGTTGTATTCCTGTTGATTTTCAATGTTATGTATATTACCCTTCCAAATTTGCTGTTGAGTATTAGTAGGTGTGGGACCATTCGTTTGTGTATCAGAATTCCAACTCCTCCATTACTACTATTATCATCACCTTTGTAAAATAGGACGTGATTTGATTTAAGTCTTAGACATTCTTCTCCTCTTCTTCTGACTTCTGCCAGTCCTACTATGTCCCAATTTATTCTATCGAGTTCGTAACTCATTTCTTCATTTTTCAAAATCCTTGCGTTGTATGTTCCGCGCATTTTGTTACGTTTATTTAAAGTATCATGACTTCAAAGTTCTGGAAGTGGGCTCATAACAAACCACTAAAACCAGTATCGGATAAAATGGATATACATCACATTTCTCAAAGTGCAAGTATCGTTGAAATGTTTTTCAAACTTTCTCAACACACAGTTATAAATAGATCGATTGATCGACCACAACATCGAAAATATTTTTATTTTCAACCACATATGTAATGTTGACATTGCAGGTTTTTCAAAATCTTGAAAGTGTCACATTTCTGGACTTTGACATTTATCGGGACGGTAATGCATATGCCTGCCTAGGACGGAAAAGCATTTTCCGTCCGGGACGGCAAATGCTTTTCCGTCCCCATTTCCCTGCTCGTTCCAAATTGATAATTTTCATACAGCTCTCACATATAATAATAAAACCACATGTATTACATGGAACTAATTAAATCTATTCACTTATTTACATTAATTGTTAAATTAGCATTGTTGTTTATAATGGAAATCTTGAGACCATCCTGTTGGAATTGTGTTTCGTTTGGAACTATTATCTCTTGCGCTTGCGGATGAGTTTCCGCATGTGATGTACTTGTGGATGCACTGGACAACTGAATACCTTTGGAAGTAGAGGATAGCATCAGAGCAGTCTTACTTTTGTTCTCCAAAGATGCCTCTATGTAGCCTTCAGCAACCGTGCTCGATTTCCACCCTCCCAGTCTTTTGAGTTGCAATAGATCGGCCCCGTTGTCAACCAATAAGGTTGCGGAAGTACGACGAAAAGCATGCCCTGTAAAAGTTTCAATTTTTGGAAGCTTCAAAAAAGCAGCTATTTTATGTGGAAATTTTGAGATTGAATGATAGCCAATTGCTTGGTTATGTAATTTCCCATTTCGCCATTGAACAAATAACCTGTCATTTTTCAAATTTTTCCGCAAAGTGAGGTATTTGTGGAAAATAGCAACCCAATCTGGATCGCTTATGATAAACGATCGACTTGTGTAAGTTTTTGTGTGTGGAATTTCTATAGCGATCTTTCCTTCCAAAACGTTGACGTGCTCCATTTTCATCTTGACTAGTTCATCGCTCCTACATGCACCCGACACACCAACAATTAGCGCTACCTGAAACCAGATAAAAATAAAATGGGTAACCTAGCTATAGCATACAGAAAATCATTTTGATTTTCGCATTTTTATCTTCTTTGTATATTTTTTGAAAACCTACCTTGATGCTAATGAATTCTTCAGCTGCCTTCGTGAGGAACTCGTTAATGTTTTCTCTGGAAAAAACGCTCGACTTTTTCGGCTGAAAGCCCAGATTTTGCCGCTTCAAAAAAGCTATAAGTTTTGCGTAATTGGAGATATCAACTTTCTCTTTCAATTTAATCATGGTTTTCAACATACTGTAAGTCGACCATAAAGTCGAAGGCTTCTTTTCCTTAGATAATTCGCCAAAATACGCCAACAAAACGGTCTCCGAGGCAGTATTTCTCGTTCCTTTCTGGCTACACCATGCTTCGAATATTTGAAAAGCCTTTTCGTACCGAAATTTGCTTTTTGCTGGAAGCAAACTCTCTCCAATCCTGTCTGCTGCTTCTTTTAATTCAGGTGGGGTACAATCCATCGCTTCATCTTCACTTTCCGAAATCATTTCTTTGGGGAGAACGGGGAGAAATCTAGTGAAAATCTATTATTTCCGCAAAAATACTGAGCGAAAACTACCGTCGTTAAGGCGTTGTTGATCTTATCTATGGTTGTTGATTTTGCGGTTTCCTGTGGTTTCGTCTTTTGTTTTGGCCTTTACAGGGCCTTTGAGATCGTCAAAATTGATGACATTGACAAAAAAAGTGAAATATTTTTTTCTAAGGCCAGTTTTACACTATATGAAAATTTCGTATAACAGAATCTTTAGTTTTTGCATCAGAAAATTAAGGGTTGAAAATAAAAAAGTATACAAACCTCGACGGAAAACTTCATTTCTGTCTCGAGGTTGAGTTTATCTCGACGCTTCGCGTCTCGATAAACTATAATAACCTCTCGACCAGCAATGAAGTATTTTCCGTCTCGGATTGTAATATACTATTACTCTGACCTTACAGGAGCATAAAACAACACAAGTTTTCCAGAAAAATCTTTTCAAAACCTTTTAATAAGACTGTGCTTACGATTGCATTGAATTATTAGATTCTCAATCTAAGACACAAAACTCAACATTTTTTTCTCGTTGATTTTAAATTTATTTAGCTAAATATTTTGCAAAAGTTGGTGAAATATTTCAAGTCCCCTTGCAATCTTTATTAATTATCGTGACGTGTGATTGAATTTATAAATCTATCAAGTAAAATTGCATAAATTAAGAATCGGCTATCTTTTATGAACCTAAATAGATAAGTATGTATGTCATTTGAAAACAACAAACCTCCCAAAATGGGCCCTTGAGGCACAATGATTGTTCCTGCTATGAAACTCCTGGAAAAATAGCCATTGAAATCTACATTCTACGTTGGTCTATTTCTCGATTGAGAATCGGCACCACACCAAAGAATTTGACGTTTTGACAGATTTCAGAGAAATTCAAGTATGACTACAAAATTCCTTGTGTGTGCAACGGACTTTTTTCAATTTAAAGATCTGTGTTCTCTTATAAGTTTTCATAGTGTAAAAAATTAATAAAATTAACAATAACAACAATCCAAGCTCTCGAACGCTTCAGCATGCCTCTATACTGTGTTAATAAAAATCTAAAATATAAACGTAAAGATAAACCTTATTAGTGTAAAATATATACCTACTTAGTACAATTTTTTTTTCATTAGGTGAAGGTGATGGTGTTTATAAACAAAGATACGAGAGGGCCTTGAAAGAATTGGAATTTACTAAGAGAAGATTACAACAGCAGCACGAAGATGACTTGGAACAACTTGTGGGACTCAAGAAGCAGTTAGAAAAGAAGGTAAATTATTAATTTATATAATTTCGTGAGCGTGCACAATATTTTTTTGAAAAAAACCTTGTCTTCAATTTCGTCACACTCGCACTTTTCTTTTAAACGAAACTGCAAGTACCTTAAAACAAAAGCCAAAACAATCTGATACAGCAACAACCTGTTTACATAAAACCTGGTGCACTCTGTAATCTAATATATTATAAAACATATACCCAGACGTACAAAGTGTTGGTTTACATTAATCACTATTATTTTTACCGTCATGCTTGTTGGCTTTTTAATTTAAAGGCGTAATTTGTTTTGCGGTTAGTTGTTTCTCGCGAGATCCAATTTCCTATATTGGATCTTTGAAATAAATTATTTTTGTCCCATCATGAAATAATCACACAATGCCACAAGCCTGGGAGCGACTTTTTTGAGTTTAGTAATATTTCATTTGCATTTTCTCAGGCAAGACATTTTCGGATAACTTAACATTCTTGACTAGCATAGTTACGATAACTTAACTTTTATCTTTATCGTCTCTCTGATAAGGACCTAAGCAAACATGAATCATTAAACACTAGAGATGATGGTAATAGAAAATCCAGTTACGTTATTATTTAAGTAATGTTCAGTGCGCTATTCAGAAAAGCTTATATGAATTTGGAAAAAAATCTCAAAAATGCTTCTTTTTCCAGCTGGCTGATGCCTATGAAGAAGTGGAAGAACAAAGACAAGTTGTCGGCACCTGGAAGCGAAAAGTTCAAAAATTAACGGGAGAGATGAACGATTTGAAGTTGCTTTTGGAAGAACAAAGTAGCAGGAACAATCTTTTGGAAAAGAAACAAAGGTATTTATTTATGCTTTTCCTCTCATTGTATAGTTTGATGTAAAAAGAAGTTACATATCTCATTCGAAGCAGTTTGTGAAGCATTTAACGTTTTGGACACTCTGTCATAATCTTTAGAACCAGATTCAGATCCATATTCATCTATCCTCGATGATAACAGAGATCTAATGTCGAAACGTGACAACGTCGTAGGAAAAATATAAACTATGTGAGAAGTGTCTTTTATGCTCATAACGGCTCGCCCAGACTCTATTGCACGTCGCTTTTACAACTTCTGTCGCATGCGAAAAAGTATCACTTCGCGCAATTCTTGAATAAATAACTGAGTTCAGCTGTCAATCAATAACTGATAAAAATCAAATTTGATTGAATAATTGGCGTTTTATACACGAGTAACAAATAAAAGCCTAGTGAGCTTAATGGTCTATTATAATATCTTACGGCTCTTGCTTGCGTGACAGAAATCTTGGGTCCGTTTATTCCAAAATCAAAGTCCAACTAACACAACAATGATTTATTCCACGTAATTATATACTCGGACAGTAATTATTATTACTATTATTATTATTTAAGCAATAAAGCGGGTAAACCGATGTGTTATTGCTCTAATTTTAATTATGGTCGTTTAATGTTCATAGCTAACTATCAAAAGGATATTGCGCGTGATAAACTGTTAAATATAATGAATGAATTGATTGTTTAATGACTGCAGCTTGTCTAGTCTATTCTTGAATGCGTTTACACTTGGAGCTGTCACTGTTTCTTCCTCAAGCGAGTTCCACTTATAAACCACTATACCACCGATTTGTTATAAAGTTTTTTCTTATCAGCAGGTGGTTCTTTCCCTTGTTTTTTTTTTTTTTTTTTTTGAATGTCCCAGCAATTCCCTTCTTTCGTTGAGATGGAATAATGAGAGTTCAATTAATGGGCTATAGTAGCCTGAAAGAGTTTTGAAAACCTGGATCATGTCCCCGCGTTCTCGTCTTTCTTTTAGAGATGATATTTGAAATATTTTTAATCTTTCCGGATATGATAATTGTCTGGTTTGATCAAAATTTTTTGTCATTCTTCTCTGGACTCTATCAAGGATTTCAATATCTTTAACAAAATATGGACTCCGCGCTGAATAGGCAAACTCTATTTTGGGACAAACATAGATTTTATACAGTTTAGATAGGTACTATTTCTACTGAGGTATTACAGAATGCTCGTTGTATTAGATAAATGAGTGTATTTGCCTTCTTAGCAATATTTGCAATGTGAGGTTCCCACTTCAAATCATCACTGACCAAAATTCCAAGATCTTTTTGATGTTCCACACTTTGTATCAAAGAATCTCCAAGCTGATACCAAGTATGAGGATTGTTTTTCCCCAGATGAAGAACTGTACACTTTTACGAGTTAGGGCGCAGCATCCATTTTTTCTAGTCCATTCATGAATTATTACTCCCAAGTTTTCTTCAATCTGATGTTGCATAGGGTTGCTGAACAATTTAGTGTCGTCAGCAAAATAGGCTATATAGACGATGTTACCTTAGATGATACCTAAATCACTAATATAGGTTATGAACAGTAATGGCCTCAACACTGAACCTTGAGGAACACCGCTACGCACATTATGACCAGATGAAAGTGTGTTGTTGGCACGGACCACATACGTTTCGAAGAAAAAAAGCTATGCATTGCAAGAGTTCACCACGTATCCCAAAATGATCCAACTTGTACAATAGTATTTCTATAGGCACCGCGTCAAACGCTTTCTCGTAATCCAACAACAACCGGCCGTCCCCCATCTACATCTTCGTTCCATTTGTTCAAACTTGACAACAAATTGCGGTAACTGTTGATCTCTCTGGTAGGAAACTGTGCTGACTGTTTGGTATAACATTGTTCTCCAACAAAAAGGATATTCATTCTTTAGCAATTGATTTTTCCATTGTCATAGAGACTTGTGCTCTGTGCTAGACATAGAGCACAAGTGAGGCTAGTTGGTCTAAAGTTCTCTGTATTGAATTTGTCGCCCTTTTTATACAACGGAGTGACGATCGCCTCAGACCAAATCTCTGGTAACACTCCATTCCGCAAAGAATCGTTCAAAGCCACTGTTAAAGGTTCACTAAGAGAATCAGCGCATCTCGATAAAAAGAGAGCTGGAATTGAATCTGGCCCTGGACTAGCGTCTTTTTTTCATCTTTCAAGAAATTGATGGTTCTTATTTCATTAACTGACCTAGTATCTACTAGCAAGCTATGGGGAAATTATCCATTGTTTCTGCCGTAAATACTTTCTCGAACTAACGGCCAAATTATGGATCAACTGGTAAGTGTCTGGTTGTTACGTAGCAGGTACTTTCTATTCTCTAGTGCATGGAAAGTACCTGCTAGGTAACAACCAGACGTTTACCAGTCAGTCCATAATTTGTTCCTAAAGGGCAATGGTTTCTGCTGTTTCTTTCAGGTCTGTTATCACTAAGTTGTTTTTATCTTTTAAGGTAATTGAGGTTGTATTTGAATTGATTGCACGTTTGATGTGCGAGTAAAAATATTTATCTGCTCTGCCCAGAAGTCCTATTTCATACTGTTTAAGGGTTTGTTCCAGCAAAAAGTTGGAAACATGTTGGTGACATTAACCTAACAGTTAAATTTGTTGGTGACAGATGTTTTTACGTTGGCAACAAATTTCTGCTGGAACGAAAATGTTTGACATTTCCCAATAGAGCAATCCAACGAGCTGTCAAAAAAAAGTTCAGATACAAAATACAGGTTTTTAACAGAAAAAAAAAACGATTTGTCTGTACTTCGTAGAGCTTCATGGATTGAGAGAAAAAAATCTGATAGTATCTATATTAAAAAACCAAAGTATCCCCACATAAACAACAAAAAACAAATCCTGGAGAGTACCTAATTATTTAGTAGGTAAAGTTTTGTCAAAAAGAAGTCATACCTTTTGCCAACATCACTAATAACTTTATAAAACAAAAAACTTTCCATCTTAAAATTCGAAAATTATCAATAGTAATATAACTAGTGCAATGGAAATTATTGATAATTTTTGGGAAATTTGCCCGAATGCATTTTTAGTTGAAAAAGAGCACGAGTGTACGTAGTGCACGAGTGCCTTTTTCAGTTAAAAACGCATGAGTGCAAATTTGTCGAAAATTATAAATATATTTCCATTGCACGAGTTGTATTTAATGAGAGAATTTCATAAATCAAAAATTTAAATTTTTTGTCAAAAAATGTCAAAACCCGAGTTTTCGCACCAGTTACTATGCAATTATCTGATAATTTGCACTAGTGCAAATTATCGCGTAATTCAAATCTGATTTGTCCAAATCAACAATCAAAACCTGTCAATTTATTGTTGGAATACCAGTTTTGACAGATGCATGAAATTCTCCTTCCAATACACAGAAAACAGTTTTTTGATGAAAAAAGTCCCGGTTGTTTGAATTAAATTTATGGCACCAATTTCATTGCTTGCCGCCATGCATTGGCCGCTATGCTATGTTCATTGGACTGCCCTATTCTTTAATGAAAAAATGGATCAAAGGTGGAACCTTTATCAAAGGTGAAAGTCAAAGTTGGGCTAGGAATTAAAATGTTTGAAGAAAATCGACTAGCATTCTGAGCAGTTGCCCACATGTTATAAATGTTTCAAACATCTGCTGAAACAGATGACATTTGCAAATTGCCACCAACATTTCTTTGCTGGAACACAAATTTGTCATTGTGCATGTCACAAGCTGCTGCCAACATGTCTGATAGCCTGCTGGAATAACCCTGCTTCTTTCAAATGTTTTTTTAATTCATTACCTATCCGCGTGTGGCTAAATTCAGCTGGTGTTGGCACCGTAGTGGAATGGTAGAACAAGCAGTGTTGTTAAATTAAACAGGGTTTGACAAGCTACAGTTTGGCATTGGCATTAGTGAATTTTAGTCACCTCATCCATGGCGGTGCACCATTTTGGTGAATTTAGCAACACGCGGTATATGCTTTTCACTTATTATTGGCGTAGTGGCGTGCCACGGAAATTTGATAGGTTGACCCTCGTATAATAATGACATTTGATGACAATAGCTATTTACCTAACAAGTGCGGAAAATTAATTTTTCCGCACGCGGCTTCCGTTAACCGAACGACGCGTAGCGGAGTTCGGTGATGCAGCCGAGTGCGGTAAAATATTTTCCGCAAGTGTTAGGTACAATATTTTCCCTACAGGCGAAAAAATGTAAAATTTTTCTTTTTTTTGACATATCAGTGCGGAAAAATATTTTCCGCAAGTGTTAGGTACAATATTTTTCCTACAGGCATAAAAATGTAAAATTTTTCTTTCTTTTTTTCGACAGATCAGTGCGGTAAAATTTTTTACCTACGAGCGTGCGGTAGAGTGCACTTTACCGCACGTATTTGAAAATGGAAAGTATCACTTTACCGCACGTATTTGAAAATGGAAAGTATCACTTTACCGCACACTATGCGGTAATGTTAACTTTACAGCATAGTGTGCGGTAAAGTTAACTTTACAGCATAGTATGCGGTAAAGTCAACTACAAAGTGTGCGGTAAAGTGCACTTTACCGCATAGTGTGCGGTAAAGTAGAATTTGATATTTATAATCAAAATTCCTTTCTTTTTCAGAAAATGGATTTTTGATCATTTCTAAATTTAATCTTATTTCATTAATCAATCTGATTCATTAATTAATTTTATCAATGCCTTTTTTTGGAGATGTAGATGCTCATAGGTAAAATTTTGTACCTAACACATGCGGAAAGTGCCTTTACCGCCCTTAACGGCTTGACCGAACTCCGCTTCGCGTCGTTCGTTCAACTGCCGTTGCGTGCGGTAAAGTATCACTTTCCGCATTTGTTAGGTAAATAACTATTCCGCACTGACAGCCGTGCGGAAAAACTTTTTCCGCACTGATGTGCGTGCGGTAAAAGTTTTACCGCACCGTGCGGGAAAACTCATTTTCCGCACGCATATCAGTGCGGAATA